TTTTTCAATTATAACGATAATATAAAGCAATATTTAATGCAATTTACAACACATATATAACATATAGAATAATACAAATAAGTATTATTTATTGACTGCAAAGCAGTCAATAACTGATTTATTCCACAGTTCAATTATACTTTCATATTATTTTTTTAATAGAAGTAATGTAACTGATAAGGCAGAATTTTAAAAAAAAATAAAAAAAAACAATTAAAAAAAAATTAACTCTTTTTCAATGTCTTTGTCAAATAATCTTGAATCAGCTCATGAACTATTTGAACATAATACATCTAATGAATCTAATAATATGACTGTAGATAATATTTAATATTATATTAAAAAATCTAAAATCAAAAATACTGATGCCTGTACACAAAAATGGGTTCGAAGTTTACAAGAATATCATAAAAAAAAATATATTTCTTATGATATTCAAATACTTAATGATAAAAACTAGCTTGAGCAAGAATTGTATGAATTCTTTGCAGATATGGAATATCAAGATGGAAATCTATATTAACCAGAATTAATCGTATCTGCTTATACCTCACTTTGTCATTACTTGTTTGAAAGTTCTGCAATTAAAAATGTAAATATCAATAATAGATTTCAATTTTATTTAATATATCATATTGTAAACAGAAAAATTATAGAATTACAAGATTAGGGGTTAGGAAATATTGATTAGTCAAAAGGTCTAACTACAGAAGAAATTTGTCAGATCTTGTCATATCTTAAATCTGATAAACAAACAGCATTAAAACTTACTTGAAAAGTTTTTTTCTGAAATCCATACTTGCTTGAACTTCGTGGTGGAGATCACTATCGACTTTTATTAAGTTGTTTTAATTTTCAATCAGATGGAAATTTAATTTTTATAATTGGGCGTGAGAAAAATAATCAAGGTGGATTAAAAGGTCGAAGCAAATATGGAAGATTTACTAGCCGTCATATTCATATTCCTGCTGATCAGCCTAATAATGAATTTAAGCCAGTTCAAGATCTTTATAATTATGTTAGTTTGCATCCATTAGATGCATGTGAATATTTTTACTTGCAATTAACAAGGAATGCTCAGGAAATTAATAATGGAAACTAGTTTAGTAAAGATAAATTAGAAAAAAATACCTTAGGTAATATGATGAAAGAAATTGCACATGCTTCTGGTATTAATGTTGATGATCAAAAAATTACTAATCATTCAGGAAGAAGAACAGCTATTCAACTTTTATCAGATCTTAATGTCAATGAGCATGAAATGATGCAATTTTCAGATCACCGCTCAACTAATGGACTACGTACTTATAAAAATCCTAATGATCAACAACGGCTTAAAAATTTTACTTTGTTACTTAATGCAATTCAAGAATCTCTAATTATACAACAAGAATCTCAAATTATATATCAAGAATCTCAAGTTATGCAACATGAATCTCAAGTTATGCAACAAGAATCTCCAGTTATACAAGATTTTCAAATT